GCTGATTTTGCTATCCTCGTGGAAGCGTGCCAATCTCTGCAAGAATTTGCTCGCGATACTGGTTTTAATTCTATTCTCAAACTATACTGTTCCTCGTCTTTGAATTTGCGTTTCGTTCCCTTTTATGGCATTCACAGTTTTGAAAATGCACACTGCACTCTTTAAAATTTTGAATATGAGTAGCTGTTTTCTAGATTATTGTTGTATTTGTTGGTGTCTTGGAGGTGAGCCTTGGCTCAATGGTTGAGTGGCTCCTTTGGCGCAATGTCAGAGGAGGCTGCGTATGTATGCCGTTCTGTTAGATCCTGCAGAAACAATCTAACAGTATACCAATAGAATCAAGAAACTCCAGGCAACTTCTTATTCAAGAAAAAGGGGCAACAATGGCCAGAGACCTTAGGCAACAGTTTGCGTACACTTTACAATTCAATTTACATCATACCGATTACTTCTTTCTACAATCTATTTATAGTAATGCAGTCTAACAACCTGCAGTTATACTATACAACAAACTCAACTACTCCCCGACCCTCTTATTCCTTCTAGAATAGACGTTATTAAAGTAGTCAACTCTATTCTCAATAATAGGGTCTCTATCAATTCTTCCCTCCTGGAAATCCAACTTGTCCTCAAGTTGGAAAGTGGGAAATTGCTGTTTGATGTTTTGTTCTGTCTCCCATGAATCTTCAAACTCCGGTAAGTCTTTCCAATGTATCAAGAGTTCCCTCTCTCCTGCTGCATTCCTTCTGACCTTCTTCACTTCCTCTGGCCATACTAACATCTCACATTCCTCAGTTAGACAATCTGGAAGGTCTTGGCAAAAACTGCCAGACTTCAACTCCTTCTTCAACAGTGATATATGAAAAACTGGATGGATCCTGCACCCCACTGGTAACTTCAATTTGAAAGCCACATGATTTATTTCTTCTATGATCTCATAGGGTCCATAGAATCTAGGACTTAATTTCTGATTAATTCTTCTGGCCAGACTTCTCATCTTGTAGGGTTGTATCTTTAGATAAACTCTATCACCAACCTGCAATTTTAAGTCCCTCCTATGTCTATCAGCTTGCTGCTTCATTTGGTTCTGAGCCTTGGCTAAGTGCTCCTTCAGCTCTTTCAGCAGCTCATTTCTTTCTGCAGTCAATCTGGACACTTCTTCTACTGCTGAACTGCTGACATCTCCTCTGATAATCACTGGTGGATTCTGACCAAACAAAGCCTTATAAGGAGTATCCTGTAGTGATATATGGTAGTTAGTGTTATACCATAGTTCTGCCCAGGGTAACCATTTAACCCACTGCTTGGGTTTCCTACCAGTCATGCATCTCAAGTAGGTTTCTAGGCAGCGATTTACAACTTCAGTTTGGCCGTCACTTTGAGGATGATAAGCCGTGCTGAATTTCAGTGTAGTACCAGCTGCTTTGAACAACTCTGACCAAAATGTACTAAAAAATAAGCTATCCCTATCACTTACTATGGATTTAGGAAATCCATGTATCTTAACCACTTCCTTCATGAACAATTCAGCTACTTCTTTAGCACTATAGGGATGTGTTAGGGGCAGAAAATGAGCAAATTTGGATAATCTATCAACCACCACCAATATGGTATCCTTACCTAATGATTTAGGCAGTCCTCCCACAAAATCCATACTGATATCAGTCCAAGCATGAGTAGGAATAGGTAAAGGCTGCAATAATACTGCAGGTTTTAAGGCCTGATATTTATTCCTTTGGCATGTGTCACAACCCTGAACATATTTTTGAATCTCAGATCTCATTCCCACCCAATAAAATAGACTGGAAATTCTTTTCATGGTTCTAAACTGCCCTGAATGTCCTCCCAATGCTGATTCATGATATTCTTTTAATATTTTAGCAATCCTGCTAGAACCCTTAGGTATCACCAGCCTTCCTTTGAAATACAACAGTCCTCCTTTAATCACAAAGTGCCTTACTGCATCAGGTTGAGTTAAAACCTTCTGTATTACCCCTCCACACCATGAATCCTTATTCAGTTCTTCCTCCAATCCTTTCCATTCCTGGCAAGTGACTATGGACAGGGAAAACATGGTCATTTTCCTGGACAAGGCATCAGCTGCACCATTTTCCACACCAGGTCTGTATTTGATCACAAAATCATAGCCCATTAGTTTAGAGATCCATTTCTGTTGGTCCTCTCCCATAATCTTCTGTTCAGTAAGATACCTCAGGCTTCTTTGATCAGTTAACACTTCAAACTGCCTTCCCAAAAGATAAGGTCTCCATTTTTGAATAGCAAATACTATTGCCATGAGTTCCTTCTCATAAACAGATTTCAGTTGATGTTTATTAGACAATTCTTTGCTCATAAATGCTATGGGTCTGCCTTCCTGCATCAATACAGCCCCCACGCCCCTGCCCGAAGCATCAGTTTCCACTGTGAATGTCTTACTAAAATCAGGGGCCCTTAAAACTGGTAGGGTAGTCATAGCAACCTTCAGTTCTGCAAAAGCTTCAGTGGTGTAGCTATTTTGCTGTATCCCTTGACAAACCTCCTGTAATAGCCTGTCATACCAAGAAACCCCCTCAAACCCTTGATATCATGAGGCTCCTTCCATTCCAGCATAGCTTCTATTTTACTGGGATCTGCAGATACTCCCTTCTCAGAAATAATATGCCCCAAATAAGACAATTGGTGTTGACCAAAAGAACATTTCTTCTTATTGGCCACCAACTTGTTTTCTTGTAGTGCTGCCAGAACTTGCCTCAAATGTTCCTTGTGTTCTTCCACCCCTTTACTGTACACCAGAATATCGTCAAAGAACACTAAAGCGAATTTCCTCAAATAAGGCCTTAACACTTCATTCATTAAAGCTTGGAATGTGGATGGTGCGTTGGTCAACCCAAAGGGCATTACCAAATACTCGTAATGACCTTCATGGGTCCTAAAAGCTGTTTTATAAGTATCACAAGCCTTCATTCGGATCTGGTGATAACCAGATTTAAGATCCAGTTTTGAAAAAATTCTTGCTCCTCCTAACTCATCAAGTAATTCTTCAATAACTGGTATGGGGAATTTATCCGGCAATGTTATAGTGTTTAATGCTCTATAATCTCCACAGAATCTCCAACCCCCATCTTTCTTCCTTGCTAACAAAATTGGGCTGCTATAAGAGCTATTACTGTGTTTTTAGTTATTCTAGAATTTAGCATCTCCTTAACAATTCTCTCTATTTCATTCTTCTGGTCATAAGAATACCTGTATGGTCTTATGTTTGGAATGCAGGAACCTTCTTTGATGTTGATGGAGTGGTCACACGCTCTTTCTGGTGGGAAGTCTAACTCATCCTTGAAAACATCTGGGAATTCCTTCAAAATTTCATCCCATTCCCTGTTTCCCTCCAGAGCCTGTTCTCCTTCTTTCTGTTGTATTTCACAATAGAGCAAGTATCCATCTCCCACTTGCTGAATGATTTGTGTCATTGTCTTCAAAGGAACTTTGATAGTGATCTCCAGAATTCACAACAATTTCAGTAAAGATTATCAAGAAACTGTAGAAAAAACTTTATTGATGAAGGTATCGATTACAGAAAGAGAACAGAAAGGCCGAAGCCACCCAAAGCCGAAGCCCCAAAAGATCGAGATGTTCAGTCTCGTATCCTTCCCAGTCCCAAGACCAAATGTCTAAAAGCCTACTCTACCTCCCTAAGCTTATTCTATTTATACTCAACTTGTACACTTATTATTATTAATGCTCTATTGGGCCGGGTCCCTAACAAATCTCCCCCCTAAACATCCACCTTGCCCTCAAGGTGGGAGATAGGAGAAGACCAACATCTTCTGCTTCCTCTGCCTCTTCCTTGTTCCTCTTCCTTCCCAATACTTGATTTCTTGATGGCTTTGTAGCTTCATTACTTGAACGTGCCAGCTCACAGATGTCACTGCAGCATATAATATCTCTGATTACTTTTCATTTTCTTCCTTAGTCTTCAGGCCTTCAATAGCCACAATTATTTCCTTCTCTTTACGAGGTGCATCACCTGTATCATTAGCAGAATTTATGTTCATGCCCTGAACCTTTTTGCCAGTGTGATGCGACACTGAAACAAAGCAACATTTAGTGCCTAGGAATTCAGAATCAACTCCTTTAACACTATCAGTCCCAGTGGATTCCCATTCTGATTACAGCTTTATTCCCATCTATTACAGTTATTTCATTAATTGCCCCATTTGCAAGTGTAATGAAGTGTGGCAGCCAATCCCCATTCTCATTAGTCACTGCAAAGTATTTCTGGTGCTTCTGCAAGACCATTATCATTAATTCTTTAAGAGGCTTTAAGAAGGTGTCCTTAAATTTTCCAAGTACGGGCACAGTTGCTTCAACAAAACTTGCAACTTCGCTAATTACATCAGTCTGCACAACAGGAGATCTATATACAGTCTTTGCAAGATCATGGTACTGCTCCATTATAAACTTATTGCCTTGATCAACATCATCAAATTTAAAATCATGAATCTTATTCAGCCCTTCCAGATTATTCAGCCCTTCCAGATTATTCAGCCCTTCCAGATTATTGTTTAGTAAACAAGGGTACCTAATATCCGTTAGAACATCCAATCCAAGTTCCAGGACTCTACCAAACCAAGATTTAAAATCTACTGGATTTCTGTCTAGGGTACCAGTATACCTTTGCATTTCATAAGTAAGGTTATCTGATTTGAACACTTTGGACTTTTCTAGATTATCTGGTGAATCCACGTGTTCTGCCCCTTCCTGAATATCCTCTTTCTTCTCCAATTCTTGAACTGAAGTTGTAGACAGCGTCGGCATTAACTCAATGCTCCGTGTAGATGGTGGAGTTCCAAGTAATGAAAGTTGCGCTTGCGAATTGATCGTTGATGAAGATGCTTGCGGACTGATAAAGGTCGTTGTTGACCACTGAGAACGAAGAGAAGGAGTTCGCGATTGCGAAATATGAGGAGTTCGTGATTTCGTCTGCGACTCCTCCTGCGATTGCAGATGATGAGAAGTGCGATGCGACCTATGGGAAGAGTGCGAAGTGTGAAGCGATGCGGATGAGTCATGCCATCTACTACTCGATCGACCTTTATTCTGGTTCTTAATCTCCTCGAAGCCAGCCTTCATCTTCGCTCTTAATTCCTCAAACTTCGCATTTGATTCCTTCTGATATTTGTCAAATTTTCGCTCGATTTCAGTCATTTGCTCCTCCAGTTTTCTTCCTATCTGCGTTATGCGACCTTCCATCTTCGTTCGAGTCTGTTTTGTCCAGTGATCGTCTCTCTGATACCAATTGATAGGAACCTCCAGAAAATATACAGAAAGATCAAGAAACAAAATAGAAAATTGTATTGATGAAGAAGATGAAACAATATCGGTAACAAAGGCCGAAGCCTCCCAATGAGCCGAAGCCCCCCAAGAACGAGAATTAGCTCTCGCTCACCCAAGTCCCAGTCTATTTATCAGTCCCAAGACCAAATGTCTAAAAGCCTACTCTACCTCCCTAAGCTTATTCTATTTATACTCAACTTGTACACTTATTATTATTAATGCTCTATTGGGCCGGGTCGCTAACAAATCTCCCCCCTAAACATCCACCTTGCCCTCAAGGTGGGAGATAGGAGAAGACCAACATCTTCTGCTTCCTCTGCCTCTTCCTTGTTCCTCTCCCTTCCCAATATCTAACTGGTTGATGGACCATGAACCTTTCCAAAGATGTCTGGCAGCTAACAAACCCCACCACCAATCTGGATTCTGATGCACTCTGCTGCCAGATGTATACTGGGGTGTTGATAAGCAAAGGAGGAGCTGCACATGTGTACTCAGCACATTGATACTCAACTATTCCTTCCAGCAAATAAGGTTCCACTTCTATATTTCCAACATCTTCACCTAGTTTGGTTTCCATTATGAGAACACAATTGGAACAGTTCAGTTCTGGATCATTGGAGCATAAGACCATTTTATAAGGTTGAACATTAACTTCAGCTTTCATCCTGTTGAAATATAAACTAGAATGATATTAAAGATGGAGAGAAGAATTTTCTTTATATTTCATTGAAAGGTAAAGCCCTATAAATATAGATTACAAAGATAGAATATTCCTATAAAAGATGCTATTCAATAATACTATATATGGTATATTCCTAATATATTCTAAAGCATATTCTAAAGTATATTCTAATATACTTTCACACTCCCCCTCAAGTTGGAGCATAGATATTTATCATGCCCAACTTGTTACATAAATAACCAACTCGAATTCCATTTAGTGCTTTAGTGAACAAATCTCCAAGTTGTTCTCCAGTCTTCACATATCCTGTAGAGATCAATCCTTTTTGTATCTTCTCTCGAATAAAATGACAATCGACCTCAATATGCTTTGTTCTCTCATGAAATACAGGATTGTTTGCTATGTGTATAGCAGCTTGGTTATCACACCACAATTTAGCAGGTATTGATGTCTTCAGTCCGAGCTCGGTCAATAGATGGCTTATCCATATGATCTCACATGCAGATTGTGCCATAGCTCGATATTCTGATTCGGCACTCGAACGAGAAACCACATTCTGCTTCTTACTCTTCCAAGATACAAGATTACCACCAACAAAGACACAATAACCAGATGTAGATCTTCGATCATCTTTAGAACCGGCCCAATCAGCATCTGCAAAGCATTCTATTCTCATGTGATCATGATTTTGATAAACAATACCTCGTCCTGGTGCACCCTTTAAGTAACATAATATGTGTTCTACTGCAGCCCAATGATCAATGGTTGGAGATGACATGTATTGACTCACTACACTCACAGAATAAGCAATATCTGGACGAGTGACTGCGAGATAATTAAGCTTTCCAACCAGTCTTCTATATCTTTCTGGGTCTTCAAACGGTGTGCCTTCTTGAGTGAGTTGCACGTTGGGAACCATGGGTGTTGTACTTGGTTTTGCCCCTAATTTCCCTGTCTCAGCTAGTAAGTCAAGTACATATTTACGTTGAGATAGAAATATGCCTTTCTTACTTCGTGTTACCTCAATTCCCAGAAAGTATTTCAAAGAGCCAAGATCTTTCGTCTGGAATTGACTATGCAGAAAATTCTTAAGGGCCAAAATACCTGCATTATCACTCCCTGTAATCACAATATCATCAACATACACCACAAGCAATGTGACACCTGATTCTGTTTGTTTGTAAAAGACAGAGTGATCTGATTTGCCTTTTATCATTCCAAATTGTTCAATTGATTGACTGAATTTACCAAACCATGCACGAGGACTCTGTTTTAGACCATAAAGAGATTTGCGATGTCGACAAATTTTACCACACTCCCCCCGAGCAACAAATCCCGGAGGTTGCTCAATATAGACTTCTTCCAAGGTCACCATGCAAAAATGCATTTTTAATGTCCAACTGATGTAAGTGCCAATCATGAGTTGCAGCGAGTGAAATAAGTAACCTGACAGATGTTAATTTAGCAACAGGAGAAAAAGTGTCAGAATAATCGACACCATAGGTTTGAGCATAACCCTTCGCAACTAATCGGGCTTTCAACCGAGCAACAGATCCGTCTGGGTTAACCTTAACAGCAAAGACCCACTTACATCCAATAGATTTCTTCCCCGTAGGCAAGTCAACCAAATCCCAAGTACCATTAAGATCTAAAGCATTCATTTCCTCTACCATGGCATGACGCCATTCAGGATGAGACAAAGCTTCTTTGACAGATTTGGGAACAGAAATAGAATCAATGGAAGCGATAAAAGAACATGAAGTAGGAGATAACTGATTGTACGACACAAATGAAGAAATAGGATGAGTACAAGACCGCGTACCTTTACGTAGTGCTATTGGGAGGTCAAGATCTGATGTGGAGACAAGATCTGAAGATGCAGGTACTGGTTCAGGACATGAGATCGGAGTCGAACTAGTATCAGGATAAGTAATCACCGGTATCGCCGGTGGAGGGTGATCAGGTGTTTTGTGTCGACGGGTGTATACCAAATGTACGGGAGGCCTAGGGTCAGGAACAGTAACTTGTGGAATATTTGGCGAAAGTGTGGACTCAGGAATAGTCATCGTGTAAATGAGTATATCATCATTACTCTCATGAATATCTGCCTTAGATGATGAAAAAGGTGTATTTTCATGAAATGTTGCATCAATAGAAACAAGATACCGACCAGTACTCGGACAAAAACATCTATACCCCTTTTGGACTCGAGAATAACCCAAGAAAATACATTTTAATGATTTGGGATCTAACTTTGTAAGATGAGGATTAACATCTCTAACAAAACAAGTGCAACCAAATATTTTAGGTGGGATAGAAAAAAGCTCTTTGTTTGGAAATAGACAATGATAAGGAGCTTTACCATTCAAAACAGAAGATGGCATTCGATTTATCAAAAAACATGCAGTAGACACGGCATCTGCCCAAAACTGTTTAGGCACATTCATTTGGAATAGAAGAGCCCTTGCAGTTTCTAACAGATGTCGGTTCTTTCGTTCTGCAACTCCATTTTGAGGAGGTGTGTCAACGCATGAAGTTTGATGAATAATGCCATGTTGAAGCATAAATGACTTAAATGTAGCACATAGATATTCTTGGGCATTGTCTCCTCTTAACACCCGAAGAGGAACGTTAAACTGAGTTTTAATTTCAGCACAAAAGGAAGAAAAATGAGTGAACAACTCAGATCGACGTTTCATGAAATACAGCCATGTCATACGAGAATAGTCATCAACAAAGGTAACAAAATATTTAAAACCAGCTTTAGACACAACCGGACAAGCACCCCAAACATCTGAGTGAACAAGGTCAAATGGAGCATTTGCTCGTTTATTAACTCGCGGGCTTAAGCTAGTACGATGGTGTTTCGCAAATTGACATGACTCACATTGTAAAGAGGTCATCTTATTAAATTGGGGATTTATTTGCTTCATTAATGGGAGAGATGGATGTCCTAATCGGTAATGAGCATCTAACAAAGTCCCAACCCCAAGACAAGAGATACCTTTTGTGATGGATGTATCCAAAATATAAAGACCAGCTGACTGATGTCCTTTACCAATAATCTGCTTCGTTAACAGATCCTGAAACACACAATATCCAGGAAAAAATGTTACAGAGCAATTAAGAGTACGAGTGATTTTACTGATGGAAAGCAGATTAAATGCAAAATTTGGAAGACTCAAAACAGGTGATAATGGTAATGTAGAAGTTGGAACAACAGTACCAGATCCAAGAACGGGTGAGGTAGATCCATCAGCTAAAGTGACACTAGAAGTAGGTAAATATGAATGAAATGACGAGAATAGACTAGGATTACCGGTCATATGATCTGTGGCACCTGAGTCAATGACCCATTTCGAGGCTGATGAAACAAGACATGTGTTTGAAATACCTGAATTTGTGGTTGTCAAGATAGGGACAGATGAATGCTTTAGAGATTCTTGGTAGCAAATAAATTTGGCATACTCGTCCGAAGAAATAGCAATTGATCCATCAGATGAACTGGTAGCGGAAGCGATATGAGGAAGCTGATTTCTTTGATTTTTGAACAGCAATTTTCTACATTCTTTGAGTAGGTGCCCGGGCTTCTTGCAGTAATTGCAAATTACTCCTCTGTCAAACTGACCCGCACAAAACATTTCTTTCTTTCCTTTTTTTTTTGATTTTTTTTTTGGTTAAAATAAAATTGAGATATTCATTAAACAAATAAAAAGAGCTGAACTTACGGCAACTTTCCTGTTTGTGGGCTTAGGAGAATAAAATACGCAGCTTGGGCTTTGACCGACTCCAAACTTAAATCCAAAGCACATGCGCAGATCTGATGCGAGACCCAGCGAGCGATCAGTGAAGGAGCGGATGTCTGGAGATAATGCGAGACCCAGCGAGGCGCGACCAACGACTACAATGTGCGTCTGTCCCTGGAAACTTTCGATGCCAGAAATATGAGAGGTGCAGTGGCGGAAACAACTTGTTTCAGAATTTGGCAGAGGCAGGGCGATCTGGTGGGGGGCAGAGGGCAAGATTCTGTATTGCCCGAAGATGAGTTTTCAATCTCGTTTGACGGCTTCTGAAATCGGAGGTTCTGGGAAAATTCTTGGGAAGAGTCTCAGAAGAGAGGTTCTGGAAAAATGCCTTGCTACTGTGAATTTTGGACGAAGGCTCTGAGTTTGGGACTAAGGTTCTGATTGTTTTTCTTTTTTCTTTTTGTCTGGACTGTACCAAGGTTCTGAAAGGTTCTGAAGAATCTTAAAAAAAATGAAATTCCTGAAGAAAGAATTTTGAAACAGGTTCTGGGAAGAGGAGGAGGTTCTGAAGATTTTGGAGACAGAGAGTGCTGCCTCGAGGTTCTGAAGATTTTGGACTGAAATCTATTTCTAGGAGAAAGAACACAGTCTGAAAACTAAACTAAGATAACAAACTAAACTCAAATCTGAAAAGAAAACTAAACTGGAATGGAACGCTCTGATACCATGTTGAAATATAAACTAGAATGATATTAAAGATGGAGAGAAGAATTTTCTTTATATTTCATTGAAAGGTAAAGCCCTATAAATATAGATTACAAAGATAGAATATTCCTATAAAAGATGCTATTCAATAATACTATATATGGTATATTCCTAATATATTCTAAAGCATATTCTAAAGTATATTCTAATATACTTTCACACATCCCATTAGCAATTTCAGGGTTTACAGATAAATCCCTGATTTGTTCCCTGATTTGTTCCTTCTGGGAAATCTTCATTGCAGCAGTTTGAGTAATAGAGTCCAGGTCCGCATTAATTCTACCCAAATGGTATTCATGAACAAACTCATCAACCCATCTTAGTCCATAATGTGAGGAGTCCCAACTTGCATAAAGCATCAAACTGCAGCCCATAGCTTCTATCCCAGATTTGTCATGGGAATGAGTGAAGATTGATCCTCCAAATGCACAAATCTGTAGATCATTCTTTCCCAATGACCCTGCCTGAAGAAGCTTGAACCTATTGATTTCAAGGTCTGACTGGTCCAGGTCGTTTTTGGAAACATTCTTACATCTGGGGAATCCAACAACTGCTCCATCTTCAGGTCCAAGATTAACTGAAGGTTTCTCATTGCATTCCTCTTCAGGGTCTGTTTCCTTTACTGAAGGTACAATCGGTTCCACTTCTGTGTTTATTGTTGTCGGTGGATTCCCTGGAGATCCCTTTTCTGATGCGATGACCAGAGAGGATGAGCTGTGAGATCCGGGGATTGAAGAAACCTGCGAACTGGGGACTTTTGCTTGCCTCGAAGCCAGAGGAATGCCAGGAATTGTTTGCGCACTCAGAAAAAGGGCTTGAGACGAAGAAGGCGAACAGTGATAATCGACTGATGACTTTCTTGGACGCGAATTGATCACATGTGAGGAAGTCTGCGAAGGGTAAGAAGAACTTCGCGATTGTGAGCTAAAAGAAACAGATAGCGGTTCAGTCTGCGGACTGGTAAATGATAGCGAAGATGAGGATTCTCTTCTCAATCGCGTTTTTCTCGGACACGAACAAATAGCCGTCGATGAAAGCATTCTGGATTGGGAATTAGAAGAAACACTTCGCGACTGCGAACTAGAAGAAACAGTGCGCGATGGCGACGAACCTTGTTTGTCAGGTAGCGGACGAGACCTATTCTTCCTCGATCGATCTGTCTTTCTGTTTTGAAGTTCAGCGATGCCAGCCTGCATTGCTGTCATCATCGCTAACATCACATCATACTTCCGATCTATATTATTAAAACTTTCTTCCATTTGCGGTGTCAAAAAATCCTCCATGATTCAGATTCTTGGTCTCCAGGAAATAACACTCTCTGATACCAATGATAGTGATCTCCAGAATTCACAACAATTTCAGTAAAGATTATCAAGAAACTGTAGAAAAAACTGTATTGATGAAGGTATCGATTACAGAAAGAGAACAGAAAGGCCGAAGCCACCCAAAGCCGAAGCCCCAAAAGATCGAGATGTTCAGTCTCGTATCCTTCCCAGTCCCAAGACCAAATGTCTAAAAGCCTACTCTACCTCCCTAAGCTTATTCTATTTATACTCAACTTGTACACTTATTATTATTAATGCTCTATTGGGCCGGGTCCCTAACAAACTTCCATTCTATTAAGGGTGGCATCCCCTTTAATACTACAGTCAAGTCCTTTATCCTTCCACTTGATGATTTGTTCTTGGAAATTTACCTCCATATTCCCCAGTTCAGTGAGCCATTCTAATCCCAGAACCACATCAGTATCTCCCAGTTCCAAAATGTAAAAATTCTGGTTGATTTCATTTTCTTGCACCATCAATTTTATCCCCACACATTTGCCCTTATTAGATATGAAGTCACCATTACCAATTTGAACTCTATATCCTTTAATTGGTGTGAAGGGAATATCCCATTTGTCCACCAGTTTCTGGGATATAAAATTGTGGGTTGCCCCACTGTCAATTAATACATTGACCTTCTTGTCTTCAGTAGCCCATCTCAAATTACCCCTAACCTTGAAAGTTCTCAAAGAGGGTATACCTTCTTTACTGAGGACAGACAGTTGCATGGACTTTAATTCATGTTGAGCCTTTTCTGGTTCTTCATCACTACTGATTTCTAATTCAGTGTCAACATCTTCATCAGACTGCTCCATAAGAACCATTTTGAAATTTTTCATTCTGCACAAATGCCCTCTATTCCAGATTTCACCACATTTGAAACATAGTCCTTTCTTACTTCTTTCAATCAACTCATTTTGGGATAACCTGGGGCCTATTTTTCTGGCATTGGAGCTTTCACCAGTTTCCATTCTCTTGTTATCATTGAGATTCCTTCCAGACACATGTTGCAAACTTGAGTTACTGCTATTCTTATTCCCTTCTTCCCCTTTCTGGTAACTGTTCACTCTTACAACATTGCTCCTCCAAGGCCTTTTTCCTTCTTTATTTCTTCTGTACAGAATTTCCTCATTTTTATCCTCAATCAACTGAGCAATGTCCATGATTTTGCCCAGATCTTTGGTTTTGTACAATTTAAGCTCAGCCCTGATATCTTTCTTTAGTCCATTCAAGAATATCGCCCTCATTACCTTCCTATCCAGTCCATCTTGACAGGATATGGCTGTTTCAAACTGCTCTCTATATTCTTGCACAGAGTTCTTGTGCTTCAACTTCAGTAAAGGACCCAATGGATTCTGAATTAATTCAGGTTGAAATCTTCGAATTAAGGCTTTCTTCAATTTCTCCCAATTCCTCTCCAGGGCTTGTTTCTCCCACCATTGGATCCAACCGAGGGCTTTTCCTTCCATCGCTACTACTGCCACCTCAATCTTCTCTTCCTCTTCAACTTGGTTGAGGCGGAAGTATCTATCGATTCTGACAAGCCAACCATAGGCGTCTACACCACTGAATAAAGGTAAATCGATTTTCCGGTGCAACTGGTGGTGACGTCGCTGTTGGTGCGGTGGTGAATACTCCCGGTGCCCTTCCGACTCATCGGAACTTTCTTCCAATCGCGTCGCGTGTTGATGCAGTAGAGGACGCGATGAATGTCGCGAGGTTGACGATGCCTGCGATCGACTCCTCGATCGATTATTTTCTCTCGCATTCAACTTTGCCGGAATCGCGTTCAAGATTTCCTTCGTCTCTTGATGATTTCTCTCCAACTCATCCACTCTTGCTTCCATTTTCCCTCGCGTCCAAACCATCAACGACGATTACTGTCTCTGATACCAATGTTAGATCCTGCAGAAACAATCTAACAGTATACCAATAGAATCAAGAGACTCCAGGCAACTTCTTATTCAAGAAAAAGGGGCAACAATGGCCAGAGGCCTTAGGCAACAGTTTGCGTACACTTTACAATTCAATTTACATCATACCGATTACTTCTTTCTACAATCTATTTATAGTAATGCAGTCTAACAACCTGCAGTTATACTATACAACAAACTCAACTACTCCCCGACCCTCTTATTCCTTCTAGAATAGACTTTATTAAAGTAGTCAACTCTATTCTCAATAATAGGGTCTCTATCACGTTCCTCCCCTTAGCCTCCAAGGCGAGCCACACTTGGCGCACTGGGGCTGTCCCTTTATGTTTTGACGTCTTGGTATGCTTGTTGGAAGTATCTAGATGCACTAGAAAGATATAAAAACAATGGTATACTTTTATAAAATATAAAATAATCTGTCTATCTCTTAACTAATTAGTAACAATAAAAGTAAAAGGACATGTGGAGTGAATGATTTTATTTATGAAAGTCATTGGATATAAATACAGATGAATAGGTCAACTTCTCTAAATATTAGGACCATTAACAAGTAGATAAACTTTATCCAATTTACTGCCTCATTTAACTTACTAACTGTACTAGATAATATCTATCTAATTTAAAGCCCATTAATGACTAATTAGCTTAGGATATAATCATATAATTAGCTTAGGATATAATATCTATCTAATTTAAAGCCCATTAATATCGGATCAAATATATAAATCATGCGCATCTTGATTAGAAGATTTTCAAATGCTTGTTTGTGGAGTTTCTTAATTAGAATGTAGGCCAATTGCTCTGAGGTTGGGGTATACGACTTGCAAATATCCCCTCGTCCTTGCTTTTTCTTTGATGAAGTGGTGGTCAATTTCCATGTGCTTTGTTCCGTCATGTTGCACATGATTGTTTGCTATGGTGATTGCTGGTTTGTTGCCGCGGAACAATTTTATCGGCTTATTGGATTCAATACTCAATTCTCTCAAGATTCTTTTTATCCCAATAATTTCACATGCTCCCAGAGCCATTGCTGGGAATTCCGTCTCCCCGAGTGTTGGTCCTGAAAAACCCAACCAGACAACCAGTAGAAACAAAATGACCAGACAGTTATATTCTTGAACAATCTTGCTAACTGACATGAGATTACATGACAAGCTAGGGACATGAAGAACATTTGTTAGAGTGATAGAGGATGAGACAATGATAGAACCTTTTTCAGTGAATGTGGACATTAAACTACGTGTTATTCTTACTTTTTGAGTGTATGTAGCACACTAAACAGATAGGGAGTATTCATGTCAGAGTGCCAGATCAAGAGCATGGCTTTTCAGAATAGTACTTATAAATATTTAATGAGTATGTAGCACACTAAACAGATAAGGAGTATTCTTACTTTAAATGATATTAAAGTATAAGAATTTATTTAATAAAAAGTGATATTGAATTTCGAAGTACTTTAATATATACCTTAGTAACAATTAGAAGATACAATTGAAATTCGTACGTTATCTGATCTATATAGTAATAATTACATGAACCGCAATTTTTAAGTCATCTTAATATTCAATTTTTATCAATAAATAACTTAAGTACACATTCTGGACTAAGCATTACGTGCACACACACAGTACATAGTACGTAACCTATGTATATTAATGTATGATGTAATTATTTTGCATGCATGTTATATTACTATCAATTAAAGCTGTTAATTACTCCGTATTACTTATATATATATATATATT